TTTCAAACTCATTAAACATAGAAGACTTATTTTTTTCTATATCAATATAAGAAACTATGACAAAATATTAGATTATCGAATGATTTCTTCAAATTAACTGTCATTTCAAACCAGATTTTTATTAAGTTTTCTCTTACGTGGCAAATTTTCATGGTCTAAAGTCTGGAACTTTAACAATTCATTGATATCGGTAATATTTATTGTATTATATTACCAATTCTTTATATTTGATATAAAATTTGAGAAAATTTATTTTCCATCCCTTATTTTTTCGATACTTTTGTATAAAATCTATGGGGCTTCTATATAAGTTAATATATGTAACAATAATCATCTTCTTGTTCAACAATATTTAAATTTGTAAACGGTTTTTTAAAATTTAATTACTTCAAGATTCACCCTCTAAGTATGCAATATTACTTGTATGAAAATATAAGAAATATTTCAGTGGAAGATCCTTTCCATTATTAGCTGTGTTTACAGAAAATTTATTAGCAAGAGAAATGAAAAATATATCAAAAAGTCTTCGTGTAAACATTGATATTTAAACTTAATGCTACATGCTGACGAATTAATTTTCAACTTAATATGTTAACGGAAAATGTGCTACATTTATCGAAAAATGGGCTTAAACTACTAAATTTTTTTGATATTATATAGACACTAATGTTATATTCAGTTCAAAAGAATTTTACTTATACTTATTTGTATAAAAGATTTTGATAAAAATTTCAATTTTTGAAACAAAAAAAAAGCAATATTTCGTTTTATTTGTGAATTGGGATGCATTGGTGCTCTTTACATGTGAATTTAAATTTTGGTTATACCAAGAACAAATTTTAATTTTTGAAACTGAAAATATTAAAATAGTAATTTTATAGATTATTTCTATAATACTACGCATATAGTAATTACTGTTTAGGTAGAAGAAATAAAAATTGTTTTTAAGAAACTGTAGTAAGTAAAGTCGGTTATAGATTTACTAAAATTTTTTGAATATTTTATCTTGATTACTATATTCGTTTTGATTCATTTTCAATTCTGTATAGCCTCGTTATACTTCAAAAAATATGGATTAAAATATAAATCAGTTTTTGAACATTTCTGACAGCTATTATTTCGATTTACTTTCAGATTTATCCTAAATACGTAAGTCGTATATATATATGGACATTAATAAGTATATAGGACTTTGAAAGTTCTGTAACTCTGAAACTAGCATTTTTTTTTGTAATACAAAACTATGTACTCAATGTCAACTTATTTATATGTACTTGCTATGATCCCAGTCGTCTATATTAGAACTTAGATATTCTATATTAGAACTTTTATAACAATGCAATATAAATTTTTGTAATAGGTCTCATATTTTTGTTCCTACAATTACAGCTTACATAACTTAAAAAATTTAATATTAGAAATATTGTAGATTCGACAATTTATAATTAGTTCAAAGAATATTTTAACTCGTTGTATAAGTATTTTTTGTAACTATAGTTGAGTTAGTAAAATATTAAATGTATAAAATATGTATGTATAGGCACTCAAACTGATACAAATTTATTTTACCAATAACAATAATCTCAAAGGACCTTATAAATTTTTCAAAAATTTCAGACAGATTTTTGTTTTTTAAATTTAAAAAACAAAATTCAATGACAATTTATGAATAGTATTTTTTTTAATATAGTAAGTAATTGATTGAATTTACATAATTAATTTGTAAGTATACATATGTATATATGTTGGTATATTGGAATGCAATACAATAATTGGAATACTTGATTATATATAAAATATAAATTAAATTGCATATTAAAAACATTTTTGAAATATAATTCTGGCACATCAGAATCCCATCTGAATTAAATTAATTAAAAAAAATATATATAAGTATATTATTTAGTTCAAAATTCAAATGTCATAATTATTTTGATTTCAATTTTGAGTATATGTTGTACATATGCATTAAGAATGTAGTGCTACATACATTATACATTCATATATAGGTAGCTATATCACTGTACTCACTTTTACTATAAGTACCCACTGTTTAAGTATATTTATAATTTAAAACACGTAGTTATGCCAATTGTCACAACTGCTTAATAAATTGATTAAATTCTAAACTAAAGTATTATTAAGCTATTAATCGTTTTTTGAACTATTACAAGTTTGAATGATTTGTATGATCAAATCATAAAAGTAATTTTGAATGGTTGGTTGACATGGCCGGTGCAGCTGGTCCACTGCACCCCAGTTAGAAGAAATGTGACGTTTTACTACCGCTACTCCGTAATCACCAGACTGTCATTGAGCATACGATTACTGGAAGGCTATTTAAACCACCCGGTTCTCTTGAGGAATCTATTTAAATCCCCGATGCTAATAAATCAATATTTCTTCCAGCTACGTCACACATGCTCTGCCTCAGGTGACCATTCCGGCTCCGCCCAGGGTCGGATTGTGAAAAAATGGCCTCCTTTTTTTAATTGAAGTAAAATCCCAGCCTAGCTGCATGCTTCCCTCAACGATCAATGTCCCGCGCAGCCTGCCGTCAATCAGACAATGTTTGCTCGAAACATCGCAAGGTGACTACCTGATTTCTTAAGGGAGCATTTGAACCACTCCTCTCTTGCCATCTCACATGTTGACATTTCTTTCCACCTGCGGTACGATATATAATACCTATATACATATGCATTTCCACTGTGTTGATGGAATAAAATCCGTTTCGCCACATAATTTTTAATACAACGTATAGTTTTACTTTATGATTTTTTAATTTGCTAAGTGAATTTACATAAGTAAAGTAAGACTTTTGCATACCTTATACATTTTTAAAATGAAAATATTATTCAAAATATACAATGTACAAGTTGATAGAAATTACACCAAAAATTAATATGTTACTTATCAATTAAAGTCTCCGGGAATCTCTCAATGTCAAGCATCAAATTACAAATTTCTTTAATTCAAATTTTAGTAAGTAATTGATATGTATATGTAAATCTAAGTGTATGTGCTCTAAAAATTTTTCACTTGGTCTTATTTGAATTCTTAAAACAGTTTAAGAAATAAAAAAAAAATACAGCAGAGAACAAGAAAACATAATCCGATGTGGTCATCACATAACCGAGGGTATATAGTAGATTTTCTTAATAATATTAAAAAATTCAAGAAATCTAGTTTTATGTACTTTAAATGTAAGGGTCGCACAGGGTTATTAAAATATCTTTTGCACATTTATTCCAAAATTACATTTTAAAATTTGATAAATTTCTGGCTATTATAACACTAAAAATATAAATTTAATAGGTTCACTTTTGGAGCTTTCAATAACAAACCGAATTTAAATACAAAGTTTCAAGAAATTCCGTTTAATATTTGCTTAGATATAATTAATAATGTTAAATCATTTTCGAGTAAAGCGAGATAATTCCGAGAACATGCAATTACCCAAAAATTTGATCAATTCACCACACCCCTTTAATATATGTACTTATTCCTATTCCTTACTCGACATGTGAAATTTGTTACGATCACAATACCTCCTTATTTTATGCAATCCGGTCGTATAAAAAATACATGAATTCTTTGAAAATATTAAAATCCTTACTTAAATAATATGATAATTTAAATAATAACACAAAAAAAAAATCATACACCTATTACATTTGTATAAAATTTGTATGCTTCGGTACCATATTGATAGCATTGTTTTAATATAATCAAAGCTAAAAAAAAAGAAAACAAATAAGAAATAATAAAAAGTAAAAATGAGAAAACAAACAAACAAACTAATATAAAAAATACATTTTGGTTTTCTTTTTTCGTTATTCTCTTAATATTGTTTTCCTCCTTTTATAGTTGGCCGTGTGTGTAAATTTTTCACGTCAATTTATTTAAAATATCATAATTGCGTCAGCAACAGTGTATAATTTTGTTTTTTGTTTCTTTTTTTTTTTTTTTAATCTTCAGCATACATGTACGTATACAATCAGTAGCCGGCTGTTTGTATTATTAAAAAAAAAATTTAAAATTTATTTTTTGACTCACACTTTGTCACAATAATTTAAATAAGTATTAGAAAAAAGAAAAGCAAAAAAAAAAAAATTAAAACAGTTTCACATTTCTAGTTAAGCCGAAAAAATACTTTTTTTTTTTAAATTAAATTTAATTAAACACATGTACATATATATGTATATACATATTTTAAGCATACATACTTATACAGCAAAGCATACATGTCGATAAATTTCATTAGAATTTCGATATTGTCCAAAACAGAAAAAGGATTAATTTAGATTTTAGACTTTTAGAAAAATGCTAATCTAAATTCGAAATTCAAATCACATTCACAACATTATTCCATTTATTATTCGATTTTTCTAATTTATAATAAAAATTCTAATTAAATTTTTTTTTACACAAGATTTAATTTTGATTAACGCACTGTATTGTAAGTGAGTAAGAAAATTTCGTCGTGACAATATCACAATTACTCTTACATGCACCGGCTATGAACTGAGATTATCTTTGTGATCTTAGTATATAGAAAAATGGATAGTTTCTCTTGATTTATGCATGTTTGCTAAAATTATTTAAGTAATTAATAAGATTGTTTATAAATTTAAAAAATCTTATCGAAAATCTAAAAATTTTTTAAGAAAACTTTAAATAACTTGAAAAATTGCATTTTTTACTTACTAAAATAAAATTAGTTTGCACATAAAACTAAAATGAAGCTAAAATTCAGTAAAATGAGTAAAAATAATAAAAACAAAGTTTATGCGTTTATGCTTTTCTTATACATATATGATATTCTTAGTAAATTTTCTCAATAATTGGAATATTACATGGACGAGATATCGAAGAATCAATTCCCATGTAGGAATATAGCGAATAAGTATAATTATTAGTCCAAATATCAAATTTATATATAAAATACATAGTTTACTAAATGAATATAGTTTATGAAAATTTTTATTCTTTCTTACCTGATATTCTAATAAGTTGAATTGCACTAATCATAAAATTAAGACTGAAATGGAAAAAAAAATATTATTGTTTTAACATTTATTTAATAATTTATGAGTTGTATGAGAATTAAAGAAACTATAATCTTAATAAAATTTAAAAAACGCTTAAGATTGAGTAATTATGCACTTTCCCTAATTTTTTTATGTATTTTGTTTTTTTAAAATAGCTAAAACTAACAATATGATTATTTAATTTTATTTGTAAAATTTTTAAAAGCGTTGAGGCTACATTCAAGGCACCAAAGTGTATAATAGTTTGGCAACAAATGTTGAATATGTACTATACTAGTATAACCAATAAATAACTATGCTTTTCTTTAAGAAACTACTATAAAAATCTGAATTGACCAACTAATTAACCAAATATGTAAAGGTAAAAGTTATTTTACGCCTCAGTTTATGCAACACAATTTCAATATTTTATAGATTGAAATGCGAATATGAATTCGGTGAATTAGTTTTTTTTTTATGCAATATTTCATTATTATTGAATTTTTAAATTAAAATATGCACAAAACATAAATAAGAATTAGAATCTTTATAAATAATATTACAAACATTAATTTTTTTTGCAAATATTAATTTATTGTTTACATTGGCACATTGTTTACATATATAGATCTTCTTCAAAATATAATCTTCAAAATGTATTCAGCAACTAAACAAAGATATTTCTGCTTTAAAATACAATGTAATAATGTACATTAAATGTAATAATTTTGATCAAAAGATATTTAAGTTATTTAAGAGACAAAAAAATAATAAATAAATAAATAAACTATTGTTATTAACAGAGAAAAAATGTTACCAATTAGGAATTGTAAACTGTTCAGTGGCACCACAAAAAAACAAAAAAAAAAAAAACAATAACAATCAAAAGCGAAGTGTGAAACTGAGAATGTTAAGCACTATATTATTATCTATATGCACGTATATAAGTATATATGTAGCTATAACACATACCAAAGTAAATTTATATAAGATATGCTACATAATTCATATATATTTATATACAAAAAGTATTAAACTAATTTAAAGCAATTGTAGGTAAATACACACATTAATGCATGAAATTTTTAAATTAGTTTTGATTTTGTTTTTTTTTTTTTTGGTTTTTATTCATTTAAGAATTTACGTATGTCAAATTTTGAGTGTTTTAAAAAAAAAACTAGAATAGTTAAGACATTGTAAAATATAGTCTTAAATTTAGTCTTAAATAAAGTTGTTAAATGTGTAGTTATTGGTTCACTTTATGGAAAACTACGTAAGCACTTGCTATCACTTATTGTACAAAATTTCTTACTTACTTATGCATATATATACTCGTATGTATATATTAATAAGTATCGTAATTTCTTATTTAGTTATTGGATCATTAAATATTGCTTGATATAGAATATGTAAATGTTCTAAAATTCAAGGGATTAAATTAAGGTATCTGAAAATTGTCTTTTAAAAATTTAAACGTTCAATACACGGACACTCCTTCAACTTGTTACAAACTTCAAATTAAGTTGAAAACGAATTATCGAGCCGCATGTCATACACATAGTACATACGTAACCCATTTGTAAGTGAAATTGTAGTTATGCTCGGATTTTTGTAAAGTCTAAGACAAGCTAAAATAAAATTTCAAATTTACGGACAATTTAAAATTTCAAATTTACGGCAATATTACCTATTGATGGTTTTTTGATTGAATGTAATTTTTTCACTTATAAGATGTAAATTTTAGCCCTATAATAAATAATTTAAATTTCTGTTAAAATAATTGTATGTGTATAATTGTATAACATAAAATAACTTTCATTACATATAAGTATAATAACTTTATATGCTTTTAATATTTTAATATTTAATTATTATTAAATATAAATCTTTAATTTTTTAAAATATTCGATTTAAAAATTAAAATATTTTTTTTGAAAAATTTTTGAAGTTTTCATAGAGAGAAAATATAATATATTTTTTTTTTTAATTCTAATAATATGTGCTATTCTAAATTTTTGAAACGTATGGTGATTAGTGATAAACTCTCTTGGTTCTCAATATTCTGTCTGTACACAAAAATATATACAATACACTTTTAATAAAATATGAATGTATATATATATATATACGCATGTATATAATTGACGTTTTTCTCTTTTCTTCAAATTCTTTCATATATTATATTTATTTATACAAATGAGTATGTGATTGAGTAAGAACGTATGTATATATAAATACATATTTAATATTATCGTTTTTCATTTACGTTTTTCTGTTAATATTTCTTTAATTTTATTAAATCCAAATTGAAGGGGAGAATTAATTATTTGACTCAAAAGAGCTTTCCTATAATATATAACAAAAAAAAAAAACAAAAAAACAAAAAAAAAATAAATTTTATTCTGAAAAATTGAGAAAGCTATTTTTACTTAGTTTTTTTTTTTTTTTTGTTTTTCTTACTCAATATCAAAATAATCTCTACTTTTAAAGTTTATTGTGTATTTTATTGTTGTTCTTCTTTAATATTTTGTATATAAGTATATTTCTCCAACTTTTGTTTATTTTTTTCTCACGAAACAACTAGAAAGTATCCTCCCAATAATATTGAATTTCTGTTTTTTTTTTTTGTTTTCTTTTTCTTTCTGTTTCTGTCACTTTTTGTGCTTTCTTCCAATGCAAATTATTAAGAGAGAGAAATTTTCAATTTTTTTTTTCTTCTTGTTTTTAATATTTTTTTTTTCTTATTTCTATACAAGTATGCATGAGCGTATTCATGTATGTATGGATGCAAGTGTGTTTAGAATAATATAATTAAATGAATGTATAGATATTTGTTAAAAATTCGCGTTAGCAAAAATCGAAAATTTTTACTCGAAATAAGTTTGAAAATTGATGATCAAAAAAGAAGAAGAAGAAGAAAAAAGAGATATACAAAAATTATATTTTTCTTTTTTTGACTAACACACCCTTTCAATTACTTTTTTGTTTTTCTTCTTTTTTTTTTTTCTTGTTTAAGAGCTTTTAAAATTAAATAATAATATACAATATGGTTATAATGAAATATTTATACATGTTTGTGAATAAACATTTATAATACATACAAATAATATTTATAATTTATGTGTATAGAAATGTATGCACAAAACCAAACACTTTATGTATGTATATACATATATGTATATATGTATGTATATTTAAATAGAAAATTATATCTGGCGGATTATGGAGTAATATCTGTCATTTACTGGAGAAATTATAGTATTTTTTTTTCTGCTTTTAGTGTATATAAAAATACAAACACGTGCACATACACAAATATATTTCAAATACATAATTTTTTTGAATATACATATTGTATATGCATGTATATGCCAATTATATATCATGTTTGCATGTATGTATAATAAAAATTTAAGTTACTATTTTTACAATACAGTACAAGACATAAAAATTATTGTTTCAAATTTGAAGAATACAAAAAACGAAAATACAACAAAAAAAAAAAAGCAAAAAAAAAAAAAATGAAACTATTGTATAAAAAATGATGACCTTGAATCTAAAAAAAGAGAGAAATAAAGATTTTTGTTCTTTTATTTTTTTATTTTTAAATTTTTTGTTTTTTTTTTTTCATTTCTTCTCCTGTTCGCAATTTAATTTTGGAAAAGTGATATACATATAGTGAAATTTGGGATAGTAAAAAAAAAAATATCGTTATGTTTATTGTAATATTCATACATAAATTTTGTAATACATGTAAGTACATACATATGACAGTTGTATGTATGTATATATATATGCATGTAAATGAATATATATTGCAATTATTTTAAAGTAAAAAATCATATTTAATTCAAAAAAAAAAAATAATAAATTATGAAATTATGTTAAAATCGTTTTTTTTTATAAATAAACAAAATTTTATTAGTAAATCAGTTTATTTTTATATATTTCGAGTGCTTGTACATATAGTAATTAAGTGAAATTTAAGATAGATAGAAAATACTAATACTGTTTTAATCATGTACGTGTATAAAGCAAATTGCAATACTTATATACAATAGCAATCCAAATTTTGTCAATTAAAATTTAAGGGTTATTCAATTTTGATTAATATTATTTTACTGGTGAATTGCTTGTATTCCATGCTGGCTTTCATCGATATTCATATTTCATTGATATTATGAAATTAATATATACTTATTTTTTTTTTGAATAATCGTCTTGTATGATAGTTACTTTTAATATTACTTATGTCATGCATTTATTAATCATTATACAATATGTTCGGCTAATAAATAATAATACTAAATTTCATTGCATACTTCTTGGAGAAAATAAAAATTAATTGATGTGACTAATATAAGAAATGACAATATTAATTTGTTATACAATAATGATAAGTGGTTTTAATATTGCTGATACGCAGTACAACCTTAGAAATAAATTATATATGTGGTAACGTTGTTAATAAACTTCAACTTTTGTGGAATGTTATCCTTACAATTTGTTGACGGACCCTATACTGTGGAATAGTATAGACTCTTTCGGATCATTATTTCTAATTTCTACTTCAAGGAAACTAAAAAAAACTGGGAAACATGTTTTAGAATAACTAAAATAATATTGAGAATATTGTGTTGATTAAATAGATTTTGAGTTTGTTATTTTCACGTGTTTTTCAAATACAAGCCCCATATTATATGCAAAATTTATATTTTTAAATTTTCCTATACATAGCTATCTAGCCTGGGTATTTTATATAATTGATTTTATTCTTTCAAATTACTTTTGTTAGCTCGAATTTCTAAAATATTTAAAGTATTTTAAAAATATTTAAGGATATGCATACATTGTCTTAAATTAGACAAAACATAACTGGGTAAAAACATATTTTTATATAGTTTCATTTAAATATTGTAAATTACATGCTATGTAATTTTAAAAAAGGTTATGTTTATATGAATTCTCTAGATAATCTAAACAATTGAACTAAAAAAAGCGATAAATTTCA